GGAAGGGAAGGGAAGGGAAGGGAAGGGAAGGGAAGGGAAGGGAAGGGAAGGGAAGGGAAGGGAAGGGAAAGGAAGGAAAAGGGGAAGAAGAAGGGGAAGGGGAAGGAAAAGGGGAAGGGAAAAGGAATGTACTCTTGAACTGCATCCTACGAGAGACCCAGGAGCAGCCATTGGACTCTGCAATATACAGCAAAAGACAGTCATCTCCTCTTCCATTGTCAATCCACTTCCAGATCTGTACACACTGGTGGTACTTTGCTTCCAACAATTCTCTGGCAGTGCCTTAGTGTGAGAAATAGCTGGTTGAAAAGGTGATTTTTGTCCAAGTTTAATATTTAGTGCATAGTGACTAAGTGGGTGAGCTCATTGCAAGTCTCTCCAGCCCTTGGGTTTGGAGCCACCATCACGTGAAGCTTTTCTTGCCCATTGGGCAGAGTGGGAGGTAGGAAGGCAGAAGAAAGCATTTGGTCCTCCACAGTGTCAGCCTATCAGTCATGGGATTATCCAAGCATGGGGGACAGGGCAGCCTTGCCCTTTCCCTCCAAGATCTTGGCAATCAACCAGCCATTTGTGCAATGGAAAAGAGGAAAGGAAAATAGAAAAGCATGAATTCAGGACTGCATTGTAGGAGTTTGGCAGAGACCACTTAAAGCTTTTCCAAGCAGCCAGCAGCACACAGCTTGAGTCTGAACCGAATCTCCCTGCAAGAGCCAGGACTAACGTGCTCTCAGCACCAAATGCTTTGCTCCGTGCTTGCGGGTGTCCTGTTTGCACTGAGATGGTATGTGCTTTGGTTGTGTTTTCTCCACAGTCACCTGCACTTCTCCTAAAACAGTGAGTCTTAACCTGAAAACATCACAGGTGATGATATCTTTACCCCATCTGCTGACACAGGACACAAGGGACATGATTTAGCCTCTCCCTTGAGCTGAGAAAACATTGTAATTGCTAAAGGTATGTTGTGTAACACCCCAAATTCTTTCTACCGTGACATTAAGAGTCCTATATATAAACCATTCTGAACTGTAAAGGTAGACCCAGACTTCACATGCCCCAAAATTTAAGGAGGATGAATCTGAATTTGGCAGCTTGGTGATATCAGCAGGACTTACTTATATTGCTCTCTTTATACTTTACATAATGAGCTGCTCCTGAAAACGAGCCTGATTCACCTCTTAAAAGTCATGGCACAAAACTAGATGTGCTGCACTGAAGTGGTGAGTTTGGTGTAATACAGGTGTGAGTGTGAAAGGAGGGCTGTGGATTAGGGA